TAACGTGTCAGCTAACTACTGAACATAAATATAAACGCAACATCTTTCATGTGCTGAAATAAAATATCCCAGACATTTTCCATACCCACAAAAAGCTTATTTCTCTTAAATGTTGTGTACATATTTGTTCACATCCCTGTTAGTGAGCATTTCTCCTTTGCAAACATAATCCATCAGCCAGACAGGCAGTGGTGGAAAAATTCTCAATTCTCATTCTTGAGTAAAAGTAAATACACCTGAATAGAAAATGACTCAAGTAAAAGTGAAAGTCACCCAGTAAAATACTACTTGAGTAAAATTATTTGGTTTTAAATATACTTAAGTATATTTTAGCAACTACATTTACTTTTGATACTTAAGTATCAAAAGTACGAATAATTTAAAATTCCTTATATTAAGCAAACCAGACGGCACAATTTTCTTGTTTTTATTTATTTACGGATAGCCAGGGTCACACTCCAACACTCAGACATCATTTAAAAACAAAGCATTTGTGTTTAGTGAGTCCGCCATATCAGAGGCAGTAGGGATGACCAGGGATGTTCTCTTGATAAGTGTGCGAATTGGACCATTTTCTGTCCTGCTAAGAATTAAAAATGTAACGAGTACTTTTGGGTGTCAGGGAAAATGTATGGAGTAAAAAGTACCTAATTTTCTATAGGAATGTAGTGAAGTAAAAGTAAAAGTTGTCAACAATATATAAAGTAAAGTACAGATACCCCAAAAAACGACTTAATTAGTACTTTAAAATATTTTTACTTAAGTACGTTACACCACGGCTGACAGGTGTGGCATATCAAGAAGCTGATTAAAATAGCTTGATCAATACACAGGTGCACCTTGTGCTGGGGACAATAAACGGCCACTCTAAAATGTGCAGTTTTGTCATACAATGCCACAGATGTCTCAAGTTTTGAGGGGCCGTGCAATTGGCATGCTGACTGCAGGAATGCCCACCAGAGCAGTTGCCAGATAATGTTATGTTAATTTCTATAGAATTTGGCAGCACGTCCAACCGGCCTCACAACCGCAGACCACGAGTATGGCGTTGTGTGGGCAAGTGGTTTGCTCTCAAAGTTGTGAACAGAGTGCCCCGCAGTGGGGTTATGGTATGGGCAGGCATAAGTTACGGACACGAACACAATAGCATTTTATCGATGGCAATTTGAATGCACAGAGATATCATGACGAGATCCTGAGCCCCATTGTCTTGCCATTTATCCGCCGCCATCACTTCATGTTTCAGCATGATAATGCACGGCCCCTTGTCGCAAGGATCTGTACACAATTCCTGGAAGCTGAAAATGTCCCAGTTCTTCCATGTCCTGCATACTCAGACATGTAACCCTTTGAGCATGTTTGGGATGCTCTGGATCAACGTATGACAGCGTGTTCCTGTTACCGGCAATATCCAGCAACTTCGCACAGCCACTGAAGAGGAGTGGGACAACATTCCACAGGCCACAATCAACAGCCTGATCAACTCTATGTAAAGGAGATGTGTTGAGGCAAGTTGTGGTCACACCAGATACTGACTGGTTTTCTGATCCACACTTTTTTTAAAGGTATCTGTGACCAACAGATGCATATCCGTATTCTCAGTCATGTGAAATCCATAGATTAGGGCCTAATTAATTTATTTCAATTGACTGATTGCCTTACATGAACTAACTCAGTAAAATCTTTGAAGTTGTTGCATGTTGCGTTTATTTTTGTTCAGTATACATGTTATAGCAATCTGTCAGTCGATTACATAGCACGCAACCATTGGTTGATGCATGCAACGTCTGAGCCAGAGGAACGCGACCGTTACATTGTTGCCACTTCTATCCACTGACATTACTGTTCCATTTGGTTCCATTCAGTGTTTAATTTGAGGATTCAGTCGATACATTGTATGCCTCAGGTCACATGCCAGCAACTCTAGCAGACGTACAACAGAAACCTGTTGATGTGATCAAATAGTTAAATACAATTGCCAGAAAGATAAAACATTATTCCATCATTATGAAAGATTTTTTATATATGTGCTTATAAAATAATGAAAACAATGTACACTTAAATGTACAGTCATTGATACATCCCCAAGAAAAACAATGTTCAACCGTACGTTTTCGTCGATGCATAAAGCACCCCTGCCTCATGCAGAATGCACTAACAAGTAAAGTAAGAAAAACTATTTAAATTATAAAAACAATACAGAATCATACAAATCAGCTTTGTACAAAGTTTTAAAATCAAACAGCATACATAGAAATAAAAACACAGTACCCTCTTAATTTCACTATTTTGTCTTTTTCAGGTTGCAAAAGTGGCCAATGTGTTCCAGAAATAAATTATACAAATATGAAACATAAAAAAAAAAATCATACAATTGATCCATTTACCAAGTTTCGGTATGACCATTTGTGATTTGTGCACATGCAACATTGATGCATCGAGCTATGTTCAACATGTATATAACTGCAGTTTGCTTAAAATCAAATATATCGAAACTAAATCCTTAACAACACCCGTACCCCTCCACACACAAATAAACAAAATAAAGATAAAGACATTGGAGATATCAACATCACAGCACATTTGCTGAGCTTCAGTGATAACATGAGTGTTTAGGGTTATGTTTGAGTTCCTCTTGGTTTTGCCCAAGATGAGATGATTGAACTGGCTGGAGGAGGATGCACAGAGGCAGACTACAACAGTGTCTTTAGAAGGGCAGTGACGAGCAAAGAGTGAGATGAAGAGAAATGGAGACCGAGATGCATGTTTATTTTGCTCTTATCTAAATGTAATGTCTCTCAACAATGTACAGATGTTTTTGAAAGAGTGAGGGCAGTGTTGAGCAGTGTGTTTTGTATGTGTGTGCCATATGCGTGTGAATGTCCACCGATCCAGCCTCAAAGGGTTTACACCATACAGGTACATTCCCACACACAAAACTATAAATACATAGTACAGTTTTTAAAGGGGGTGTCTGTGAAAGGTCCTGAGAATCGTGAGGGGAAGACAGGATTCCAGTTGAGGCAGGGCAGGGGGTTCCTGAAAAGGGGGTCTATGATGACAGGGTACCTATCTGTGCTAGGGGCTTACGTTTACTGGAACGAAAATAGTAATATGGTCCTTCAGCAGACACTTTAATAATTTATTGAATGGATGTGGCCCAAATGAGAATTGGAATCCACACCGTTGGTTTAGCCAGCTCCATGCTCCCCTCCATTTATCCCACATTCATTACAAACAATGGACACAAAGACACAAATCTGTAAGAAAAATAGTTTCTGTAAAGAATATAACCAAGCTAGTTAGAAGAAAGTGTATTTGTGTTGATTTAGTTCAGTGTATTCCTGTCAGATGGACAATTTTACAAAATGGCCACACGTTTCACACAGACCCATCACCACAAGCTAAGTTACTTAAGTTTAAAGTCATTTAGCTATGTCTCACAGTTGTGTATAAATTGTTGAGTTTGATTCTGCAGACACTAGGACTGTCTGTTAGCTAAATTAATGTATAATACCCCTTCTTTCTAGTACACACACACACACCATGACACAGGTACTGATATGACACAGGTGACTACAGTGTTTAAGAGATCATTTCCATGAATTTTCTAAATGCACAAAGATGTGTGTAGTAGCAGTTGGTACCCAAAACAAAAACCACTAAATATGATAATTCTACATATTGTAAAAAAAAAAAAAACTGCTTAGATATTTGTAAATACCTTTAAAATTGATCGTTAACCAAACAGTGACATTGAGATACTATCATTGAGTTAGACAATATATTCGGTCTCATAAACTGAACGAGATGGCTTGTCTCATATCACTAGCGTAACATATTACAGCTTGCTTATAACTGAAATGCCCTGTGCCAGCCAGCCTATCACACACTCAACAAAGGGTAAAAACACATCACGAGAGCTCTCTATTTTGTGCGATAATGCATTGTCTGAGTATTTGCTGTACCCTACACACCTTCATGAGGTACACACCCACCTCTTTACGTCAGTTATATCAGTACAATATACATGTGTTCAAGCGATATGTTGACTCATACAGGCAAAACTACAGTACCATGTCTTTTAGAACACAGGTCTCCCAGAGCATTCTGGGAGTTGGAGTCTTTTTGAGCCAGAGCTCGTGTTTGTTTTTGGCTGATTCGCTTCAGGAACAGTATTAGGCCTCTCCGTGTGATCTAGTGTTCTACAGTTCATAAAATGTCTCCACTTTATTGGCTTTGCTCTGACGCAGGAGTGTATAAGACTTTAGTTACAAAAATAAAAACCTACAAGCAGGGACAGAGAGGGATTCACTCTGGGTGCACAGGCTGAGGGAGAGTCGGCTTGTGCTGTGTTGGACTCTCTTATCTGAGTTTTTAAAAATAGGCGTGTCTACTTGGAGGCTCTTCTGTCTAGGCAATTCGGTTTCAGATGAGCCAACGGGGATCCATTGGTTCTCTGCAGTCCCTGTGTCTGTCCAGCCCAGAGCGTGGCAGGGTTTCTGGGGTAGGTGGTGCACCACAGAGAGGGTGGCGGCGTAACGGCAGGTCTCTCTCCACAGAGCAGGTCAGAGTGGTGGAGGGGTAGTCCTCCTCTTCTCCCCTACCATCCCACCCCTCTAGAAGAGGCCGGAGGGAGACGGTGTGGTTGGAATGTGACAGAAGCAGCAGGTGATGAATAGAACGTGAGAATATAGGGGGGGGGGGGGGGGGGGGGGGGGGTCTTTCCCTCTCTTATGCTTAAAAGCGACGAATTTTCTTGTACATAATGTCACACCCTAACTTACTTGCATTCATTCTATTTTCTACTGCCCATGTATTCCACAGTGCCTAACCAGACCCACTAATAAATCTATTCCCCACTCAATTCCAACAGCATGAAACTCACTGTGGCCTCACTAATTCACGTTTATCCTAACTAACCTCTTCCCCCCTCTTCATCGTTCTCTAGCTTAGGTCACACGCCCTCTCCGACGTCATTTCCTGTGTTTGGTGTGAGCTCACTTCTTCTGCGGGGTGTCGGTGAAGAGCATGCTGAACTTGCGGAGCTGCTCGCTGGCCGAGTGGCTCTCTTCCTGCAGCCGCTGGTTATTCTGCCGCAGGTTAGCCATCTCAGCCAACAGGTGCACTTTGTCCTTCTTCTCCTGAGGGACAGAAAGGGAGGGAAGGCAGGGGAGAGAGCGAGAGAGAGAGAAAGAAAGAGTTTATTCATTTTCAGTTTCAGTTCTTGCTGTGTCAGTGGTACAGCCATATAAAGTAGTATAGAGCCAAAATGTCTCTCTGGTGTAAACGGTACCTTCTCCAGGTCAGTGTTGAGCTGCTTCAGCATCACCTCTAGGCTAAACAGTCGCCCCGAGAGGTCGTTGGGGACCTCATCCCTGAAAACACACAAAGACATTACCTCACACTGTCATATGGGTTACGTAGCAGGTAGGGCAGACAGGTTTAACAGGTGTGTTCAACAGAACAACAGAGTTTATCAGGACCGTACAACGCAGTATGTTAGTTTGGTAAACAAGAGGTAGTTTCAGTGATAGTCTGGTTGTAGTTATGCCCTGAGACATCACAAGCTGACCGGCCAGACTGCTGTAACTCAAACACTCCACAGTTTACTACAGCAGGTGTTCAGAGATCCTTGGTAACTGGTTGACCTGACAAAAGGAAATGAGAAGTCCAAGCATAGGCGGTGCTTTTATATACTCAAATATTGTGTTTAGGATTTGTGTCAAATAGACAAAACGATCCTAATCTGCTGTAACTGCCATGATCTTACATTGTGCGTCTGTGGCAGTGTCTATGGATCGTGATTGTTTGATCTTGGGTGTGTTAGTTTGTGTCTTGTGTGTGAATATTTGTGAATTTATGCGAGGTGTGTGTGGGTCAGAGACTTACCCGCTGAAGGTGGGGGTAGTGCGTGGAGTCTGAGGTGTTTGGAACTGGATTGGACTGATGATCGGCCGCATGTCTGGAACCCCAACTTGAGGCTCAGTGAGCGAGAAGAGAGACACTGCCCTTTGCACTGTAAAACACACACACACAGTTACAATGCAGCATTTTCCCCTTCACAATCAGCTATATCTTCACAAGGTCTCCAGGGACATTTCACACGATCAAGCCCATCCAGGAGCAGCCTAGCTGGGCTGTAATTGAGGCCCAGGATCATGTGTCAGTAGGGGCCTTGTGTGTTTGCTGGAGCTGCTTTGAGAAGCTTTGTGGTGGCAGGGGACCAGAGTATTGTGAGACCAGGTCTCTCTCTCAGCTTAGGCTACTGACACACAAATACACAGCATGTACACACAAACAAAATCTCTCTAGCAAATATCTGAACACACACACAGAATACTCAAACTCACCCTCGTAGGCCTTGGCAGCGTTGACCAGGCTGGCCCACTCCAGGCCACAGGCAGTGTCAGGCAGGGGCATGAGCCCCGGGTCCAGCCTCCTCAGGGGGGGAACCTTATCCCTCACCTCTGTCAGAGACAGCTCCGACGCAGACAGAGGGACTGGCCAAGCAGGAGGGGGGCAAGGAGGTCAAATAAGTCTTAGCAGATTAGTATTCATGATGATGTCACATGATAACCTTCGCTTCTTGAAAGTCATGTATCTTGAAAACTTGATTGCTGGCATGCAAAACATTTTGGGACTGTATCAAAAGTGAACTAATGAAATAAATACCAAAAGATCATTTTTGAGTGGACTACTCCTTTAAAAGTAGCACATAAACAATTCTTTATCTGACTATAACTGAGCCCTGTGCCTTCTTGTTATGCCATAATTAGGTATGGATGCAATGAAGTGAGAAGGTAGTAACATCAAGCTGTGGCCCCACTCACCCTTCTTGTTGGGCATGTGGTTGGCAGTGTGTGCGTGGCGCCGGGTGGGCAGGGTGCAGGTGAACAGCAGGTCGCTGGGAGTGCCCTGGTCAAACAGGGGGGCAGAGTTGGCATAGCTGGCATCCCTGCGCCCGCTGCACAGAGACTCGTCTGAGAACGTGCGCTGAAGAGTGCGCCGAGGAGACTGAAAAGAGAAGGGAGGGAGGTTAGTTGTGGGGTAGTATGTTAGTGTGTGAGCAAGTGGTAAGGTTTGGGGTGTGTATGTGTAAAATAGTGTGTAGTGTATGCGTGTGTGTGTGTGTGTATATATGTACTGGGTTTGTGTGTGTGTCCCTCACCATGTCTCTTTGTGGCATCTCGCCAGGGTTGTCCATGATGATGAGTTTCTTCAGGTCGTCCTCGACGGTGCTCTTGTGGGGTCTCCGTGGAGAACGCAGGTCCCTTAGCGACGCTCGAAGACGGGGCTGTCCGAACACGTTCTTAGAATTCACGTCCACCTGCCTGAACACACACAGCAGGAATATACTGTAGGTTAAATACAGTAACACAACTTATCACACTGAGCATGGATTAACTCAGTAGTGTAATGCTTGACTTTTGTGTTGGTAGTGTAGCACACTGGTGCCTCGGTAGACCAGTGCATCTCAATGCGCGCGCACGCACACACACGCACGCACACACACACTATCTCTCTCTTACTTCTTGCTGCTGTTGCTGTCAGAGCTGTAGGTAGTGGGTGTGTTTGAAGGGGAGGGGGTGTTGTCGTCCGGTTGCCAGGCGCCCAGTCTACTCTTGCTGTATAAGGCCTTGGGGGCGGAGCTGGAGAGAGGGGTGGAGCTGAGTAGGGCAGAGTTGGGCGTGACTGTGGCGGCTCGTACCGGCTGCGATTTCTCTGCTGAAGGGGTCTTGTAACCCTGGGGTGTGTAGCAGGCCCTGTGACGCCACACACACACACACACACACACACACACACACACACACAGACACACGGCATTAATATACAGAGAAACACATGCTCAAATCCATAAATCGATCTCTATCTATCCATCTACATGCATAGGTTTAGAGATAAACATATGCTTGAGTTGATGGATCCATTCAGGGTGGGATACGTAGCACATGCACAACACAGACACAACAAACCACACATCATGCAGAACAGCTGCTGGTGGAATTCACATCTCAAATCCCCTTTGTCTCCCGACCCAATTCCACCAAAAGCCACCTCATCCAACCAGCAGTAACATCTGTGAATATCCCTGACCAGCTATCATGGCTTTCTCTGGACATCATACATCCAGCAAACCATCCACCCAATCACCCAAGCAACCATTCAGCTACAAATGTCCATCCCAACCCACCATCACTCAATACCTACACCCATCCATCTTACCACTCACACGTCTCTATCCCCATTTCCTAAGCTCCTGTACCACAGTTTAGACTACATACCTGTATGTTATTTGTTGTGTCCCACTGTGTGTTGGGTGCCTCTGTGTGTCAGAGTGCTGTCCTGTTCCCTGAGTGACTGGGTATAGACTGGCAGACTGGAGTGATGGAACTGGGGGTCTAAACCCCCAATCCTTTAATCCTCCTCTAAGAGTAGCTGGACTCTCTAAATACGTGTGTCTACATGTATGTAGGGCAGGGGTGGTACATCTGGCCCATACATGCCCCCCATAGGGATTAAACACTGACGTGTTTCAGTACGTTCAGTATGGGATGCCAGTGTGGACAAAACACACAGTTCTTTGTCCTCCCCTTCCACTCTCTTACCACTACTAAAAGCTAACCTGAGTTGGAGTGTATAAGCGCTAGCAGTGTGTGTGTGTCGCTCTCTTGTACCTGGGTTTAAATGAGTCTGGCTTCTCCACGTTGGATCCAGGAGGAGGGAAGGTGCGCGTGCGGTATCCTTTGTTCTGATTGGCAGGTAATACAGGTGATGACTCTAGTCTCCGCCCCTCGACTCCGTTGACCCTCACCCCAGAGAGCTGCTGCAGCCCGCTATTATAGGTTGCCGAACAGTGCAGGGGCTTCTGTGATTGGCTGGACTGGTTTCCGTGGCGACCGCCGGGCTTGGTGTTGTAGAGGGTGGGGGCGTCGATGCCGCTGTCACTGGATCCGCCCTTACTGGGGGGGTCGGGGTCAGGTTCAGCCAGGTCGCCTAGGCAACACCCGGACCCCCCCGGGCCTCCTCTCTCCCCCCCAGCCCCGTCGAACCAGCGCTCGTCACTGTGGCTGCTGGATGCGTTACTGGAGAGAGTGTTACTGCTGGAGTGGCTGGAGTACTGGGTCTCACCCTACAAAGAGCGGGATGAGGTGGGAGAGAGAAAGAAACGGTAGATACACAGAAAAGCAACAGGCAGAAAATCTCTCTAAACAAAAGAGGACAGTTATATCTGACCTTTGAGTGTCTGTTGGGGGAGTCTTTCCCTGGGACGTCCTGTCGGGTGGGTCTCCTCTGTCCCCCTCCTCCTCCTGGCCCCCGAGACGATGACACTGGGACATGCCATAGGGGCTCTGGGCAGAGAACACACACACAAACACCATTACACATAACCCATCACAGGTCTACTGTAGTGACAGGTGTGGTATGTAGGTCATCACTATGTTTTACGTGTTCACTCTGTGTGTGTGTGTGTGTGTGTGTGTGTGTGTGTGTGTGTGTGTGGTCACTGGTTAGTGTATTGGGGTAGTCAGTATTTAAGCCCCTTTTCTGATGGTGATGGATGTCTAACTCAGTTCGATTTGGAGCCACTCCAAATAGTTTCAAAGGACACACACACAGGTGTCTGTAATCATGGCCGGGTGTGGTTTCATATAATTGGTTAATTTACAGATATATAAATAGAACATATAAAAAACATAAATGGATAGCATACGATCATAGATACAATTTGGCTACATAGGCCTACAAACATTTACAATGAATAGCAAAATCACAATAATCACAAGAATGGCTTCAGGTCAAAGTCTACGTTGTGACCGAAGGGAGCAAGGGTCTTTAAATTAAAGATCCAGGCAGCCTCTCGTTTTAACAATAAATTGTCGAGGTCACCCCCTCTCCTAGTGAGGGTGACGTGTTCGATGATGATATAACGTAGGGACGAAATCGAGTGGTTCGCTTCCAAAAAGTGGGCCGCAATTGAGTACGTGGAGTTTTTGCACCTAATGGTGGTACGATGCTCCGAGATTTGTACTTTTAGTTTGCGCTTCATTTTACCCACATCATTTTTACCACAAGGACAAGTTATAAGATAAATAACTGCCTTAGTTGAGCACGTGATAACACCTTTGATTGGGGTCTGTTTCCCTGTTTGGGGGTGTTTGAAGGATCTACATTTGTAAGTGCCATTGCATTGAGCGCAGCCATTACACTTGTAGTTTCCAACCGGTAGAGGCGCAAATAGAAGGTGTGCAGCGGTATTTTGGGGTGGTAAATCAGAGTTTACCAATTGATCTCTGAGTTTCTGCCCCGCGAGAATACGACCAAGGGAGGGTCCGAAAACACATTACCGATACTGTCATCGGATCTTAGAATGTGCCAATGTTTGTGAACGTTTCCCTTAATTTGTTCAGAGCACTTTGAATAGCGGGAAGTAAGAACGCAAGAGATCATGTCTCGATTTGTTTTGGATTTTCCCAATGGCAGTATTCAACTGACCATTTTTGTACCCCCTCTTCTTGAATGTTCTTTGCGTCTCAGCCATATTTCTGTCGAAATCTGACTGTTTTTTTGCTAATTCTTTTGGTTAGACAGAATTGGCTGTAGGGCTAACTGTTTTTCAAGGGAAGCGGGTGTGTGTACCTGTCTTGCAGCGCTCCATAGTGCTGTCCTGGCTGGTGAAGCCCGAAGAGGACTCTCCACTAGAGGTTATGTCCAGACTGAGATGAGGTTCGTAGGTCAGCAGGGGATGCTGGGCTGAACCGTACCTATACAGATACAAGAGGAACAGAGAGGTTACACACGCATGCACACTCTCACACTCGCATGCGCACACACTTGCACTCACGCTAGGGCTGGGCGGTATACCGTATTTTACTATATACCGGTATTGATGCACAGACCGGTTTGGGTTTTTACTTTACCTTCTACAACGGTATTTCAATGTTTGGTTTGTTAAATGTGTTAACGCCACTCCAGCGTTTTTATAATTTACTCAGTTTGCTACTTGAGTCGTCTCTCCCTCTCCTCCTGCAAATGTTTTTTTTTATGCTAACAAAGTACTAGCGAATTTCCATGGCAGATGCTAGCTAAATGCTAACAAGGGCAAGCAAACATAAGCTAAATGCAAGGACAGAAAAGGTCCTAAAGTTGTAGAACTATCTCAAAAAGCTACTCACACTTGATCCAGAAGGGGATTGATTGTCTCTGCTGTAACCAAGAAGCTTGATATTGCAAGCTAGCCACCTAACGTTATAGCTAGCAAATTAGCAAACCAAATGCATAGCTGGAGCCCTGAGCTGGAGAAAATGTATTTAACTTATAGTTATAAGATATTTAGCTGGCAAACATTATTAGTGAATTTCAAGTGTAACTTGATCACCTCTCTTGTGCTTCTCAACAGTAGATCGACACGTTTTCTCCACGTGCTCCTTAACAAAGAAACATACCATGTGACTGGCTCAATTGAATTATTTGAATATTTTTTTGGGGGTTGTGGTATTGAAAATCATACAGTCTGTACTTCAAAATACCCCGGTATATACAGTATACCACCCAAGCCTGGTAAAAAATATTAGGATATGATATTTTGGCCATACCGCCCAGCCCTAACTTACACACAGACTTGGGCAAACTCTGATTTAGGCAGACAAAAAAAGTGTACAGGATACACACACACACTAAGGCTGACCCCATTAAGTCGACTGGTCCATTATTTGGTCGATAGGATGTTTGTCCACCAAGATTTCTGTAGTCGAGCAGTCGCATATTGATATATATATTTTCCCATGGTGCACAAAACACCTGTCTGATTCGTGCCTGTCTCAGTGGACTAATCCATTGCCGAGGCCACAGGGATGGCACAGTCCATCACTCTAAGACAGTGGTCACCAACCTTTTGAGTCAAGATCAATTTCGCAGTCAAAAAGCAAGCCGAAATCTACCGTTCCAAAAAAAAAAGAAAAAAGTCACATTAACCTAATAATAGCAGTTCTGTAGGAATGAGGTTTGGGCAGTAGGCCTAATACATTATTGCAGTATACTGGCTATATGCCTGGCCTGCCAATATTGTTATTCTCAGACCATACTATATTTCAAAACTCGAGCTTTGATAAAAAAAAAATTATCAGTTGGTGTAGCACTTGAGAGGCACTGCGGCGCATAAATTGAAATAATTCGCTTTTTTTATTTTACTGGACTGATGGTACCTACATCTGATGGTCATGGTGCTTTCAAGACAACTGGGAACTCTGGAAATTCGAAGTTGGATTTTTTTTACCCAAGTTCCCAGTTGTCTTGAACGAACTGAAGTCGGAAGTTGGAGATTTCTGAGTTTCCACTTGTTTTGAACACGGCATTAGGGTCCGCATCTCATGGTCCCTACACTCTCCTTCCTTTCCTCTGGTGAGACTGACCAGAGAGAGGGGACACCGTCTTCCACCTGATGGCTAAACTCGAGTCGCACAGCATCTGCCTCATCCACAAATTCATGTTGTTCCTATGACCATGTTGTTCCTATGACGAGCTGCTAATAATAATTAAAACGCAGGGCTAACGATACACTTGGATACTCATTCATTCCAACTGCATCACGAGTGGATGTACGGAGAAGCACATTTTATGTTTTAGTGCTGAATAATAACTTTAACATTAACTCACATATTAAAAACAGCAGCTCTTTGCTGTATTCTTTGACAGTCTCTCTGTGGTCATGGTTTTAAAAGTTATGAAATATTACGTAGGCTAGTATCAAACTTTGCTGTAGCCGGGGTCGTGGAAGCTCTGTAGGCACGGTGATTTGAGCTATCCGATTGGCCAGCGCAGTAGGCATACTCAATTTAGCCACAGATCTCCCGGTCCTCCGGGTACGCCGGCAGTTTGTATTTTCAGACAAATGAAATGGTTCAAAATGTGAACACTTTGCTTACCCGGTGCGCAGGACTTCTGAATCAAGTGCACCTACCGACAACAGCGAAAATAAAATAAAAAAAGGAGCGCAGGCCTTTGTCGTTGGCTTTTCTACAGAAATGTTTGGTGATCGACTAGGAATGCCTTGAAGATCAACCAGTCAATCGTGATCGACTGGTTGGCGACCACTTCTCTAAGACGTGATCCTGAAATTGTAAAAATAATGGTACTATTATTTTATAACAAATGAGCTTTCTGACGCATTGGATAGCGGTCACTGTCCGTGGTATCTGAAACAATCTTTAGTGCATAATACCAAAGTTAACCACCATATTGGTGTTGAGAACATGTGGCGGAGGCAGCAGCGGAGTGAGGAGACGGGGAAACAGCCTTTGCCTTAATTGTCTAAGAAAATTGAGGAGAGAGGAAACCCCAACTTAATTAGGTCTATAATCAATAGCCTAACTTAAATGTGCCTGGTTTTATAAATCATCCACATAGATCTACAGAAGACAGACAGATCCTGTTTCTGTTGCCTGTGAGTGCTTGTTTAATAGCCTACTTATACCGTGAGCACCAAGCCTGTTAGAACAGACTCTCTGGTATTACTTATAATTTATTTAGTTTTGTTTACACTGTTCTCCTTCTTGTTATTACAACTGTTATTATGATCATCATTATAATAATACGTAATGTCATTATCATTAGTAGGCTTCATGTAGTGGTAGCCTTGTTTAACCACCATCGAGCTGTAGGCCTAAGAGCGCATCCTGTTTAGTCAATACCGTAACTTACTTAGGCCTATATATATCTCAATATATTTAGTGTTGTTTACACTGTTCCAAAGGGTCAGAAAAAATTATATTGTAATCTAACAGCCCCTGTTTGGCACACATAATACTCACGCAACGCTTGCTCCTATACCCTCCTTTTACTTGATCTCCAGTAGATTCCACAACTAAGTCAAATTTCTTCCACAGATCTGACTTCCCCTTTCCCTACTGAGCAACCAGTAAACATTTGCCCGTTTTGAGTTCCTTTTTCACGTCCTCCACATCCATTTTACTGTCACGTGTTAGGAGTTTGTTATTACCAATGTATTATGATAGGCTATAGGTCAGGCCATATTGGTCACATGTTTCACATAAAGAGGGGGAATAGGGAATCTAAACAAATGAGAGATTTTGGGTAACATAACTTTTCAGTCAGAGAAACAAGTAAGAAACGGAATGGCTGAAATTATGTTGCAGCTTCAGCACAGACAGTGCGATAAACACTTGCTGTGATGTGGTGCCTTTTCGTTGCAGCAGGGAGGAAAGCGAGACAACGTGCGCCAGTCACACTCACTGTCATTTTTTCTAACACAGCGTGGCCATCGTGCTCCCTCGAGTCATTTGTGTGTCTTAATTATTTAATAAAACAGTGCGCTTAAAGCATCAGACAAGCTCACTGCATATAGTTGATTTTATTCAAGCACATAGGGTGTGTCTATATGGAAAGACACAAGTTTTAAAATGTCAACCAATCGATTGGTCGAAAGAACTACTCTCGTCGACTAAGATTTTTTTTTTGGTAGAGGACAGCTCTAACATACACAAATAAGTTTAAGATTCTGTTGTTGCTCCCCGGTGGCGCTTATTTCATACATATTGGTTGGGCAGGATGAAACTAATCAGAACACACACAGGTAAAACCACACAATGGAGTCTTAATCCAATAGTGTGTTCGTACATGTCTCATTGACAGAAGAGCGACAGTCAAATCAGTCAAAGGTCTGCAGCAAGTTAGCTACCACTCCTAGCAACAACTGCCAAAGGCCTGTCAAGTATCATACAAAGGAAACGCCAGGGAACAGGAAGGAGTGACATTCTCCTCCAATACAAACAAATGAAGACCTCAATGAGACAACCACAGAGCCAGTCAGAGACAACCCCAGAGATACACACACAAAGACACTAACACACACACTTCCGCTGACTGACCTGTCAGGTGAGGGTTTGTAGCGTACGAAGGGCCCGCTGAGTACGGGGCCCCCCAGGCCAGAGGGGGAGGAGAAGCTGGCTGAGGGGTTCCTGTAGGGCAGCACTCTGTCGCCCCCCGCTGGCGACAGGCTGTAGTGGTTCTCAGGGAAACTCACTGGCCTGCAGGGAGCACAGAGGGGACAGTGGAGTTTAATCACAAGTCAGTACCTATATTCATAAAGCGTCGTAGAGTATGAGTGCTAATTTATGATCAGTTTTGCCTTTTAGATCATTATTAATAAGGTTATATGGATAGAGAGGACCTGATCCTGATCCACCAAAAGTATGTGGACACCTGCTTGTCAAAACTCTCATTCCAAAATCATGGGCATTAATATGGAGTTGGTCCCCCCTTTGCTGCTATAACAGCCTCCACTCTTCTGGGAAGGCTTTCCACTAGATGTTGGAACATTGCGGGGGACTTGCTTCCATTCAGCCACAACAGCATTAGTGAGGTCAGGCACTGATGTTGGGCGATTAGGCCTGGCTTGCAGTCGGTGTTCCAATTCATCCCAAAGGTGTTCGATGGGGTTGAGGTCAGGGCTCTGTGCAGGCCAATCAAGTTCTTCCACATCGATCTCAACAAACCATTTCTGTATGGACCTCGCTTTGTGCACGGGGGCATTGTCATGCTGAAACAGGAAAGGGCCTTCCCCAATCTGTTGCCACATAGTTGGAAGCACAGAATCGTCTAGAATGTCATTGTATGCTGTAGCGTTAAGATTTCCCTTCACTGGAATTAAGGGGTCAAGCCCGAACCATGAAAAACAGCCCCAGACCATTATTCCTCCTCCACCAAACTTTACAGTTGGCACTATGCATTAGGGCAGGTAGCGTTCTCCTGGCATCCGCCAAACCCAGATTCGTCTGTCGGACTGCCAGATGGTGAAGCGTGATTCATCACTCCAGAGAACGCGTTTCCACTGAGTCCAATGGCGGCGAGCTTTACACATCTCCAGCCGACGCTTGGCATTGCGCTTGGTGATCTTAGGCTTGTGTGCGGCTGCTCGGCCATGGAAACAGTTATTGTGCTGACGCTGCTTCCAGAGGCAGTTTTGAACTCGGTAGTGAGCGCTTCAGCACTCGGCGGTCCTGTTCTGTGAGCTTGTGTGGCCTACCGCTTGTGTGGCCTACCGCTTCGCGGCTGAGCCGCAGTTGCTCCTAGACATTTCCACTTCACAATAACAGCACTTACAGTTGACCGGGGCAGCTCTAGCAGGGCAGAAATTTTAAAAATGGACTTGTTGGAAAGGTGGCCTCCTATGACGTTGCCACGTTGAAAGTCACTGAGCTCTTCAGTAAGGCCCTTCTACTGCCAATGTTTGTCTATGGAGACTGCATGGCTGTGTGCCATGTAGCCGAAACCACTAATTTGAAGGAGCGTCCACATACTTTTGTATATATAGTGTATGTCTCTAAAAGTCTACTTGAGAAATATTTTATCAAAGCTGACATATTTATGACATTTTGCCTTACCCTCCTTAATTACTCCATAATGTTTAATCTGTAAGTTCTACAAAGCAAAAGTCTGTGTCAAACAAAGCTTTACCAAGTGCACTGTAATGAGTAGTATTTTGATTTCAATAACCACATTTACATTAATATATTTTTTAGCATAATATACTCTAAGGCAGGGCTCTAAATTAAAAAAAATTATTGGTAGCACTGGTGCTCCCAACTTCAAAAGGTTAGGAGCACCACATGAAATTTTGTAGCACCAGAAAATATATGTATCTTTAAATTGATTGAGATACAGCCTATTTTGGGCCTATATGAATTCTAGCTACTTTTGAAGCACATGTTGTGCCCTAGAAACTATGTAACACTATAAATACATTCATTTATTATAAAAGCTAAAATGTTGATACGAATCCCTGTCATGGAAATGACAAAGTCATTTGTGGAATATTAGGTTTCTATACTGAACAAAAATATAAACGCAACATGTAAAGTTTTGGTCCCATGTTTCATGAGCTGAAATAAAAGATCCCAGACATTTTCCATCCGCACAAAAAGCTTATTTCTCTACAATTTGGTGCACAAATTTGTTTACATCCCTGTTAGTGAGAATTTCTCCTTTGCCAAGAAAATCCATCCACCTGACAGGTGTGGCATATCAAGAAGCTGATTAAACAGCATGATCATTACACAGGTATACCTTGTGCTGGGGACAATAAAAGTCCACTCAAAAATATGCAGCTTTGTCACACACTGCCACAGATGTCTCAAGTTTTGAGCCAGCGTGCAATTGGCATGCTGACTGCTGGAATGTCCACCAGAGCTGTTGCCAGAGAATTGAATGTTAATTTCTCTCCCATAAGCTGCCTCCAACGTCATTTTAGAGAATTTGGCAGTACGTCCAACCGGCCTCACAACCGCAGACCACTTATAACCACGCCAGCCCAGGACCTCCACATTGTCTGAGACCAGCCACCCGGACAGCTAATGAAACTGTGGTTTTGCACAACCGAAGGATTTCTGCACAACTGACTGCAGTTCTGTGTCGTAACTGACTTCAGTGGTCAAATTCTCACCTTCGATGGCCACTGGCATGCTGGAGAAGAGTGCTCTTCATGGATGAATCCCGGTTTCAACTGCACCAGGCAAATGGCAGACAGCGTGCATGGAGTCGTGTGGGCGAACGGTTTGCTGATGTCAACGTTGTGAACAGAGTGCCCTATGGTGGCGGTGGGGTTATGTTATGGGCAGGCATAAGCTACCGACAACGAACAAAATTGCATTTTATCAATGGCAATTTGAATGCACAGAGAAACCATGACGAGATCCTGAGACCCATTGTCGTGCCATTCATCCGCTCCCATCACCTAATGTTTCAGCATGATAATGCACGGCCCCATGTCACAAGCATCTGTACACAATTCCTGGAAGCTTCCATGGCCTGCATACTCACCAGACATGTCAACCATTGAGCATGTTTGGGATGCTCTGGATCGACGTGTACGACAGCGTGTTCCAGTTCCCGCCAATATCCAGCAACTACGCACAGCCATTCAAGAGGAGTGAGGCAACATCCATAAGCCACAATCAACAGCCTGATCAACTCTATGTGAAGGAGATGTGTTGCGCTGCATTAGGCAAATGGTGGTTACACCAGATACTGACTGGTTTTCTGATCCACGGCCCTACTAAGGTATCTGTGACCAACAGATGCTTATCTGTATTCCCAGTCATGTGAAATCCATAGATTAGGGCCTAATGAATTTATTTCAATTGACTGATTTAATTACAGTACCAGTCAAAAGTTTGGACACACCTACTCATTCCAGGGTTTTCTTTATTTTTACTATTTTCTACATTGTAGAATAATAGTGAAGACATCAAAACTATGAAATAACACATATGGAATCATGTGACAAGGTAGGGGGGGGGGGGGGGGGGGGGGGGGTATACAGAAGATAGCCCTATTTGGTAAAAGTCCATATTATGGCAAGAACAGCTCAAATAAGCAAAGAGAAACAACAGTCCAACATTACTTTAAGACATGAAGGTCAGTCAATACGGAACATTTCAAGAACTTTGAACGTTTCTTCAAGTGCAGTCGCAAAAACCATCAAACGCTATGATGAAACTGGCTCTCATGAGGACCGCCACAGGAATGGAAGACCCAGAGTTACCTCTGCTGCAGAGGATAAGTTCATTAGAGTTACCAGCCTCAGAAATTGCAGCCCAAATAAATGCTTCACAGAGTTCAAGTAACAGACACATCTCAACATCAACTGTTCAGAGGGGACTGTGTGAATCAGGCCTTCATGGTCGAATTGCTGCAAAGAAACCACTACTAAAGGACACTAATAATAAGAAGAGACTTGCTTGGGCCAAGAAACACGAGCAATGGACATTAGACCGGTGGAAATTTGTCCTTTGGTCTGGAGTCCAAATTTGAGATTTTTGGTTCCAACCGCCGTGTCTTTGTGAGACGCTGTGTGGGTGAACGGATGATCGCCGCATGTGTAGTTCCCACCGTAAAGCAAGGAGGTGGTGTTATGGTGTGGGGGTGCTTTGCTGGTGACACTGTCTGTGATTTATTCAGAATTCAAGGCACACTTAACCAGCATGGCTACCACAGCATTCTGCAGCGATTCGCCATCCCCTCTGGTTTGGGCTTAGTGGGACTATCATTTGTTTTTCAACAGGACATTGACCCAACACACCTCCAGGCCGTGTAAGGGCTATTTGACCAAGAAGGAGAGTGGTGGAGTTCTGCATCAGATGACCTGGCCTCCACAATCCCCCGACCTCAACCCAATTGAGATGCTTTGGGATGAGTCGGACTGCAGAGTGAAGGAAAAGCAGCCAACAAGTGCTCAGCATATGTGGGAACTGCTTCAAGACTGTTGGAAAAGCATTCCTCATGAAGCTGGTTGAGAGAATACCAAGAGTGTGCAAAGCTGTCATCAAGGCAAAGGGTGGCTTTTTGAAGAATCTCAAATATAAAATATATTTTGATTTGTTTAACACTTCTTTGGTTCCTACATGATTCCATATGTGTTATTTCATAGTTTCGATGTCTTCACTATTATTATACAATGAGAAAATAGTAAAAATAAAGAAAAACCCTAGAATGAGTAGGTGTGTCCAAACTTTTGACTGGTACAGTATATATCTTTTTTGGAATGAAAATACTACTCATATTACAGAGTAAACCGGTAAAGCTTCATTTGACACACATTTTAGCTTTGTAGCATCTACAGATGAAACATTATGGAGTCTTAAAGGAGGCCTGGGTAAGGCCAAAATGTCATAAAAATGCCATCATTGATTATTTTTCAATTATGCTTTTAGATACAAATGTAAAATATATGTAAACAATTCTTCCCCCAAAGAACCATTCTGTGTTACATTTCGTGAAAATCCCCAAAATCATGGTATTTTTTGTCCTGGTTTCATGTGGAATCACTTATATGTTCTGCACCTACAGCAACGCTTTACGTTTTTTTAAAAGGACAACCTCATTGTCGTTGCATTTATGAGAATGACATCAGGCCATAAGCATAGGACCACCCGCTCAAGACACTGAAGCAACTACACCAGGGCCTAAGCACAAGGCAAACAATCCCAAACAAACGTCAGTGTCTCACCTCTTGTTGGAGAGGTGCTGGGGCTCCCTGTATGGGACGGGCATGACCATGGCTTTGTGTGAGCGGGGTTGGGGTGGTGGGGGGACCATAAGAGTCCAGCGCTGAGGGGTGGGAGCGCTGTGCAGGCCCGGAGGGCCGGGGGGGCTGTCCCAGCGCCAGGCAGGGGGACGAGGGGAGGGCCGGTACCCTGCTGCCACAGGCTCAGGCTCTGGCTTCTGCTCCATGGTCTTCATCTCATACTCCTCTGTACATCCCCTACAGACCGAGAGGGGGAATGGAGAGTCAGTGGTACTGCAGTGGTATTGCAAGACTACACCCTTCACATAGAAGATTACACATGAACACCAGACAACAACTAGAAAGATGTCATAGCTGCTTACAAAATGTCAGTGGCTCTGCACGCACACGTGCACACACACAAGCACAGCACTCAGATAAGAGGTCCACCTTGCTCACAGGAAATGCAGTCAAACTAAAGTTGAAAACCCTGAATCTCCTCCATACTCTCCCTCAGCATATTCCCTTTAGCATCCCCCTCCAACAGCATACACACACAAACACTAATGAGCTCCCTTGATACCTCAGCATGGAAATGGGGGGGGGGGGGGGGGGGGGAGACAGATTACTGCAACATCAGGACTCTATCCCCTACTGTGAGGCCTCGGTCAAGTGTGTGAGTGTGTGTTTCTTTGAGCATGTGTGCAGATAGAACCCAAGCCCTGACCCTTTTAGTCACCCAGTTGTCGCTGAAGTATTCATTTGGACAGAAACACGTGAAGATAAACCTCTAATCTCATAAAGATTCTCTCTGTCAGCCTTTTATTTGTGTGTATGTAGCCTAGATGTGTCAATTTGCATTGAGTTTATACAAGCAAGGCATGTGGAAATGGTTGTTTTAGGCTAGGCTACTCTAGTTAAATAATTGTATTAGATCCTGTGAGATGTCAGGCTTTTCTTCAACTTCCCCTAAACAGTCATGACCTGGACCCTTTCTAGTAGTCACTGCACTACCAAATACAATGAAGTGTACATGAAAATCATTAGCAAACTCAAAGGAACACCCTCAATGATGTAAAAATGACCAACATCAGTTTCAGTGGGGTGTTCTTCTCATTTTCTACTCAAGAGACCAATAGCAATAGATCCCTGTTTAACCCAGCACAGCATGACAGGCTTACCCTCTCAACATCCTCACTAAACCATTGAGCAGAAACAGCACATACATCTTTCATCACTAAAGTCTATTATTGGAGGTAAAAGAGGCATCACACCGCCACAGCAAAGGGTGCCTCAGACATAAGACAATGTACATCGCTGCAACAGAGAGGGAGCAGAGAGGTGAGAAGGGAAGAGGGACAGACTAGTGAAAGGGAGGGAGGGAAAATAAGAGACGAGGAGAGGACGGGGGGAAGGGAAGAGAGGAGAAAGAAAGAGGGGGGGGGGGGGTAAATAGAGGTGAAGGGACAGGATAAATGAATAAATTAGAGGACAAGGAGGAAAAGAGATGAGAAGTGGAGAAAGTGAAACAAAATATGAATACAGCCTAGGTAATGGACAAGAAGAGGACAAGAGAGGAGTGGAGGAGCAGAGAATGAAAGAAGAGCTGGACAGGAGCAGATTGTCCTGTCTGTGTCTCTGTGTGTGATCTGTCCCCTACTATTTGACCTGGATTAAGCTCAATCACACTGGTCTGGCCACACTAAGCCCCAGACTGCTTTAGAAAACAACAAACAAACCCCATTACTACCGCTGCAGGCTAAGGTAAACAGAGCACAGAGGTGGACATGGCAACATCACATGCTCTGTCTGTATGAAAGATACCAGGAGACCCTGTATGAGTAGAATGATGCTCATGACAGTCTCGCTATCACTCTCATACATATATACCAGTGAGTGTAATAACCAACCTTGGAAGGAAAAACCTAGATCCCACACAAACACACAAATATAACTGCCAATGTCAAGTCACAAAACAACCCTCACACATACAGACACTCGATAAGAACACGTACGGCACACACACACACACACACACCAGTGTACCAACCTTAGAGAGAAAACACCAGTGCCTACTTCCAGAGACCTCTCCATCGCAATGGCCGGCCTGACAGCTGGGGCTCTCTCTCACACACACACATTCCGCGAGCAAACACACACACTCTCTCTCTCTACTGCATCTCTATATCTCTCTCCTGTTCACAGCACCAACAGGGATTGGGAGAGAAAGAGGAAGAAGTGAAGGCAGTTTCTCTTTCCCACCCACTTGGCTTCTCCCACCTAAGAGGTGTTCAGACACGTCTTTCCCAGCCAAGCTCCTCTATTCCGCTATCCTCCTGTACCCACACTACCTCTCTCCCTCCTCCCTCCTTTTCTACCCTTTTCATTCACACAGAGCATGCACTTTTAATTAATCGCCTCTTTATATTTATTTATTTTCCCTCTTTCTGCAGATTCCAGGCCTTAATCTCATGCAATCTGTTTTCCTGGCACACTCTAGCAAATGAGTGTGATAGAGAGAGAGGGGGAGGGAGAGGGAGGAACAGAAAGAGTGAAATACAAGACTAATTATGTAGTGTGTGTGGAGGAGTGAGCGTGTGTGTGCGCGTAAGAGTGTGTGTGTATCAAAGGGGTTTAAGTCATACAATTAAACTGCCTTACACATTAAAGAAATCCAACCACTGTGCAATCACACAGCCCTGGCAGCACAATTACTGTATTTAGGAACCCCCACTCAATCAAGAACAGACATCCTGCTTGCTCTGTGTGACCCCGACTACGGAGCAGCACACTCGGTCTGCGTCCCAACTGGCACCCTATTCCCTACATAATGCACTACTTTTAACCAGAGCCCTGTGGGCCCTGATCAAAAGTAGTGCACTAAATGGGGAAAAGGGTGCCATTTGGGACGCACCCAAGCTAGGCTATATATCGAGTAGAGACTAGTCACACTGTGTAGTCAGTGCGTATTCATCTCAGTAACGTTCAAATCCACAGTGTTTAACAGAGCCTCATTATCCCACTGTACTCAAGGCCCATACTCAGATGAAAGGTTGAGAGGAACGGAGCCAAAAAAGAGATGGGGGAAGGGGAGATAGCAAGAGAGCGATAGAGAATGAGAGGCTGAGGGAAATGGATGTGAAAAACACAGGCAAGACGGACAGACAGTAGGGGAATAAGAAAGCTTGAAAGGAAATTGCGTATTAATTCTATTGATTGTTATGTCGTTCTATCCATCTCTTTCTTTCCCTCTCCTCTTTCAGCACCTCCAGGAATTCACACGTGTTCAGACCATGTGCCTCTCGCCTCTCTCTCTCACACACTCCCACTCAAAACTCTCCTCAGAACAGAGACGTCTGGCCAGCATATCTCAGCTCTGTTGGTGTTGCTGTGTGTTGTGAATCTTCTCTCTCTACAACACATCCTTAGAGGCAGGATGATGCTTTGACATCTAACACAGAAACACATTCATTTTCACACACACACACTCAAACACATAGACACAAACACACCCACACACACTAACCTGCGGGGCCCTCCCTCCTCGTAGGGCGGTATGATCACCACTTTAACGGTGACCGACGTCCTCAGTAGGTCGATCATCTGCTCGTGTGTCAGGGTTACGGCGGCAACCTTGCAGATCTCCACCAACCGGCTGCCCTGCCTCAGCCCTGCCTGCCAGGCGAAGCCGTACTCCTCTACCTAAAGCAGGTCAAATAAAAATAATTTGAAAAATAATAATTTTTATGGATTTTACATGAGTTTACAGAAAAATATTTTTCGAAGGTATGGAAAAGTACCTCAGCCACGGTGCCGTCCAGCCTGACGTGGAACCCCAGCTGTCCCAGGCCGTTCCTCCTCAGAGTCATATCCACCGTCTCACAGCCCACCGTTAGCGCCTGGGGAGGGAGGGAGGGAGGGAGGAGAGCTTAGGAGCTTTCAGCAAATAAAAGATCTTCAAAAGGCTGGTGGTTTTAAATGCATTTTTTATTTCACCTTTATTTAACCAGGTTTTAAATGCATCATTAAATACATAATTATACTGCCATATACCAACAGCCAAACATGCTATTTTCATGGTTTTTAGTTTCAGAATCAGTTTTGAGCCTCCTCTTAGCAAGAATCACGGTCATCTTAGTCTGGGTGCCTGTCTGTCTGCTTTAGCAAACTTTTAAATTGTCTTACGCAACAATGTAGGGAAGTGGTACCCAGGCTATTCTTCTACAAAAAAATCCAGTTGAACTCTCATCCCTGCCCCTCTGCCTCTTCCACCACCATACATCTGGTAAACCTTCCCCAGCTCTGTGACCTCTGCCCACACCTTTAACCTCTGCACCACCTCCCTGATGTCCTGAGCAAAGCCCTCGGGGACTCTGACGGCGATGTGGTCTCCTCTCCCGTAGAAGATCTTCAGCGCCAGCCTCTCTGGCGTCCAGCCAATCACGTCGGCGCAGAAGCAGTTGAACACCACTTCCTTGGTGTTGCAGTCTGCCAGGAGGACGTACTCTGCTGACACGCCCAGAGCGCAAGAGATCTCCGTCCCGCCGCCACTGAAGTCCTGGGCCAGCACCCGCCACGCCACCGCCCCGGCCGCTCCCAACTCCGCCCCCTCTCTCGCCCGCGCCCGCTCTCTCTTCTTCGACGCCAGCGAGATGAGGTTGTTGAGTTTGCCCGCGGAGTCGAGCGGCGTACTGCTCACACAATTCTCGGCTAAGTCTCTGAGGTACTCCTGTCGCGTGCGCGTGGCCATGGTGTGGAACTTCTCAGACTTGTGCGCAGCGCTCTCTGCATTGATGACCTTGGCCAAGAGGAAGTTGCGGAAGGCTTCAGGGTCACGGAACGTCACCCCGCTGGGGATGGGTGGGCCGAAGGGAGGCACGTCCTTCATACGCGTCACAGCCACACTGAGGAGAAGAGAAAAAACAACCATCAACAATCGACCAATAACAACGGCATAATGGACGCCATGGTGAGAGTTGGTGTGTGTGTGTCCTACCTGTAGCAGGTGTTGTCGGAGCAGGGGTTGTGCACGCGGACGATGACGAACACGTGCTGGAAGTGGGAGCGGATGTTCTGAGGGGTGAAGGGCAGCGCTCCCGGCTCCTGGAAGATTATAGTGACGATGTCGTTCCCTATGTGCCTCTTCCTCAGGAGCTGAGAGAGAAAAAGGGAGGGAGGGAGGGAGGGAGAAAAAAGGAAAGTGTGAAGAGGGAGACAGAAAGGTGTGTGAGCGAGTGTGGAGGTGAAGACACAGTTGGCAGAGGGAGAAACAAACAGAAGCAGAGGGAGGGAGGGGAGGAGAGTGAGCGGGGGAGACAGAACGAGCACAAATTAACATGAGCCAGACAGAATTGGCACACAAGCTCACTTGACTCACTATCGCACCAGTATATTGTTAGAGAAAAGTCAGCGAGAGACAGAGCGAGAGAGATAGAGATTGGTCCCAGTCTATGTGGATGTAGGTCTGAGATTGTGATGCAGATACAGACAGTGAGAGAACAGCTGAGGCAAACAAACAGATCTTTATCTGATGCTACATTTTTCTCCCAATGAGTGTAGCTATTGAGAATTTGATTGAATATGTGTGAATGTCAGTCACACAGTGACAGAATCCATGCTGTGTCTATTGCGGTGCTTGCCAACCCACTCTTTCTGCAGCAGTGTGAAAGAGTCAATTAAATATGACAGCATAAAGCTTACACACGCACACTCTAGGGGGTACTGCTGGAGCTCTGTATGCATGAGACACGAGTTCTGCCTGGGGCTGGACAACTGCTAAAGGCCCCTGCGATCCGGATGTAATTGGATGTCCTCCTCTCCTCTCTACGTCCTTGCCCTTAGTCACAGTCACCTCTTCTCTTTCTCTCTTTTTGACTCTCTTCCTCCTGTCTCTGGCACATAACATTCCTCTATATTGACTACCTGACTTTTTAACAGCTCTCTCCCTCTCCTCTCTCAGAGTGAGGGTTTATTGGTGATCAACACTGACACCTAGAGGTTTCATGGCAGAAGTTAAAATGTCGCTGCTGTGGCCTTTGCGCCTCTGGATGGAGTCAGTGTGCTGAATATTAATCTATTCTCTCCCATTCTACCGTTTACACACCCACAAACCCAGAGACACAACATCGCGATACTTCTGGGAATGCATCTGGAAGTAAACGTGACAGACCAGGGTTTGGCAGACAGTGGGAGAAGTGAAAAATTCATCCTTAGTTGTTCATTTTCTAGAATTGTAATGGCAAAACCTAGATTGGAGCCAATGTCTTAATTAGCTGAACCTGTCATTACTACAACCTTGTGAAAGTGACAAACTGACAGGTTTGAATTATTTTCAAAAACAACTTTATATCGAAGGAGTGCCTTTCATTTGACGGTCTGCACATGCGCAGTTCGGCAAGACATGATGGCGTTTTTGTGCATGAGCTATGCTAGCTAACGTCGCCATGACGTCGCCTTCAAGTGTGACCAGGGATTTCTACTGTAGAAGCAGTTTCTGCCCATCTTCATACTGTACTGTCTTTGGTGTAACCTTTCATACATCGTTTATATTTTATTCCTCTAACTCATTATTTAATTAACCAGGCTGGTCAACTGAGAACCAATGCTCATTAAGAGTGATAGCAATGGAATCTCTGAAGATATAGCTTAAACAGAGTTTCCAGAACCTACCCATTCACATACAGTGCATTTGGAAAGTATTCAGTCCCCATGACTTTTTCCACATTTTGTTACGTTACAGCCTTACTCTAAAATGTATTACATTATTTTCTTTCTACACACAATACCCCATAATGACAAAGCGAAAACAGGTTTTTAGAAATGCCTTATTTACATACAGTACCAGTAAAAACTTTGGACACACTTACTAATTCCAGGGTTTTTCTTTATTTTGTACTATTTTCTACATTGTAGAATAATAGTGAAGACATCAAAACTATGAAATAACACATATGAAACCATGTAGTAACCAGAAAAGTGTTAAAATCAAAATATATTTTTGATTTTAGATTCTTCAAAGTAGCCACCCTTTGCCTTGATGACAGCTTTGCACACTCTTGGCATTCTCTCAACCAGCTTCATGAGGTAGTCACCTGGAATGCATTTCAATTAACAGGTGTGCCTTGTTAAAAGTTAATTTGTGGAATTTCTTTCCTTCTTAATGCGTTTGAGCCAATCAGTTGTGTTTTGACAAGGTAGGTGTGGTAGACAGAAGATAGCCCTATTTGGTAAAAGACCAAGTCCATATTATGGTAAGAACACCTCAAATAAGCAAAGAGAAACGACAGTCCATCATTACTTTAAGGCATGAAGGTCAGTCAATCCGGAAAATGTCAAGAACTTTGAACGTTTCTTCAAGTGCAGCCGCAAAAACCAACCCTATGATGAAACTGGCTCTCATGAGGACCGCCACAGGAAAGGAAGACCCAGAGTTTGCTGCAGAGGATAAGTTCATTAGAGTTAACTGCACCTCAGATTGTAGCCCAAATAAACGCTTCAGAGTTCAAGTAACAGACACATCTCAACATCAACTGTTCAGAGGAGACTGCGTGAATCAGGCCTTCATGGTCGAATTGCTGCAAATAAACCACTACTAAAGGACACCAATAAGAAGAAGAGACTTGCTTGGGCCAAGAAACACGAGCAATGGACATTAGACTGGTGGAAATCTATCCTTTGGTCTGATGAGTCCAAATTTGAGATTTTTGGTTCCAACCGCCGTGTCTTTGTGAGACGCAGAGTAGGTGAACGGATGATCTCTGCATGTGTGGTGTGGTGTGTGAGTTTGGTTCCCACCGGGAGGAGGAGGTGTGATGGTGCTTTGCTGGTGACACTGTCAGTGATTTATTTAGAATTCAAGGCACACTTAACCAGCATGGCTACCACCGCATTCTGCAACGATACGCCATCCCCTCTGGTTTGCGCTTAATGGGACTATAATTGGTTTTTCAACTGGACAATGACCCAAAACAGACCTCCAGGCTGTGTAAGGGCTATTTGACCAAGGAGAGTGATGGAGTGCTGCATCAGATGACCTGGCCTCCACAATCACCCGACCTCAACCCAACTGAGATGGTTTGGGATGAGTCAGACGACAGAGTGAAGGAAAAGCAGCCAACAAGTGCTCAGCATATGTGGGAACTCCTTCAAGACTGTTGGAAAAGCATTCCTCATGAAGCTGGTTGAGAGAATGCCAAGAGTGTGCAAAGCTGTCTTCAAGGCAAAGGGTGGCTACTTTGAAGAATCTAAAATATAACATACATTTTGATTTGTTTAACACTTTTTTGGTTACTACATGATTCCATATGTGTTATTTCATAGTTTTGATGTCTTCACTATTATTCTACAATGTAGAAAATACTAAAATATAAAGAAAAACCCTTGAATGAGTAGGTGTGTCCAAACTTTTGACTGGTACTGTAAGTATTCAGACCCTTTTGCTATGAGAAAAAAAATTGAGCTCAGGTGCATCCTGTTTCCATTGATGATCCTTGAGATGTTTCTACAATTGATTGGAGTCCACCTGTGGTAACTTAAATTGATTGGACATGATTTGGAAAGGCACACACCTATCTATACAAGGTTCCACAGTTGACAGTGCATGTCAGAGAAAAAACCAAGCCATGAGGTCGAAGTAATTGTCCGTAGAGCTCAGAGACAGGATTGTGTCAAGGCACAGATCTGGGGAAGGGTACCAAAACATTTCTGCAGAATTGAAGGTCCCCACGAACACAGTGGCCTCCATCTTTCTTCAATGGAAGAAGTTTGGAACCACCAAGACTCTTCCTAGAGCTGGCCGCCCGGCCAAACTGAGCAATCGGGGGATAAGGGCCTTGGTCAGGGAGGTGACCAAGAACCCGATGGTCACTCTGACAAAGCTCCAGAGTTCCCCTGTGGAGATGGGAGAACCTTCCAGAAGGACAACCATCTGCAGCACTCTACCAATCAGGCCTTTATGATAAAATGGCCAGACGGAAACCACTCCTCAATAAAAGGCACATGACAGCCCGCTTGGAGTTTGCTGAAAAGCACCGAAAGGACTCTCAGACCATGAGAAACATGATGCTCTGGTCTGATGAAACCAAGATTAAACTCTTTGGCTTGAATGCCAAGTGTCACATCTGGAGGAAACCTGGCACCATCCCTATGGTGAAGCCTGGTGGTGGCAGCATTATGCTGTGGGGATGTTTTTCAGCAGCAGGGACTGGGAGATTAGTCAGGATCGAGGGAAAGATGAACGGAGCAAAGTACAGAGAGATCCTTAATGAAAATCTGCTCCAGAGCACTCAGGACCTCAGACTGGGGCGAAGGTTCACCTTCCAACAGGACAATGACCCTAAGCACACAGCCAAGACAACGCAGGGGTGGCTTCGGGACAAGTCTCTGAATGTCCTTGAGTGGCCCAGCCAGAGCCCGGACTTGAACCCGATCGAACAACTCTGGAGAAACCTGAAAATAGCTGTGCAGTGACGCTCCCCATCCAACCTGACAGAGCTTGAGAGGATCTGCAGAGAAGAATAGGAGAAATTTCCCAAATACAGGTGTGCCAAGCTTGTAGCGTCATACCCAAGAAGAGACAAGGCTGTAATCGCTGCCAAAGGTGCTTCAATAAAGTACTGAGTAAAGGGTCTGAATACTTACGTAAATGTCATATTTACGTTTTTAATTTTTAATAAATGTGTAAACATTTCTAAAAACCTGTTTTTGCTTTGTCATTATGGGTTATTGTGTGTAGATTGATGAGGGGGAAAAACTATTTAATCAATTTTAGAATAAGGCTGTAACATCATAAAATGTGGAAAAAGTCAAGGGGTCTGAATACTTTCCGAATGCTCTGTATGTGGACACCCCTTCAAATTAGTGGATTTGGCCATTTCAGCCACACCCGCTGCTGACAGGTGTATAAAATCGAGCAGACAGCCATGCAATCTCTATAGACCAACATCAGTGCCCGACCTCACTAATGCTCATGGCTGAATGGAAGCAAGTCCCCGCAGCAATGTTCCAACATCTAGTGGAAAGCCTTCCCTGAACAGAGGAACAGGCAAAGGGGGGACCAACTCCATATGAATGCCCATGATTTTGGAATGAGATGTTCGACAAGCATGTGTCCACATACTTTTGGTAATGTAGAGTAGGTGCAAGCAAAAGTTACTGTACAGTTGGCATGTATTCAATGAACATAGATGATGTTAGCAGGACTGAAAAGCCCATTCAAAGAGAACAAAGAATCCATAAAAATACTACAGGCACAGAATTGAAGAGGAACACTCTAAAAGAGAGGGAGAGCAGCAGAGAGAAGTTCTATTTCTATTTCATGAGTAGCTGCAATTGTCCATGTCTGAGCCAGATAAACTATAGAACAGAGGTATAACAAACCACATACACAAACACAAAATAGTTAAACCTTTCTGTCTCTGTCCGCCATGTGTCTTCTGAATCTGAGATATGACACTCAATGGTGACACTCAGACGGACTTCCAAAGGATTTGTGAGACTACGGCAATGGCCATGCTACCCTGAGCACCCTTAAGAATCAGGAAGAGTGTCTGACCTCTGTAACTACACCTGTGGGATTGAACAGACAACAATACTAGATAGAAGGGTAGTTGAAGGTGTTTGGGGTGGGCTGTGGTAGACTGTGCTGTGTGAGTGTTGGTCTCACCTGCTGGGGGTTGTTGGGCATGTAGGGCAGCATGGTGGACACGTGGAACATGACCTCATAGCCCTGGTAGGTGGTGTACAGGGAGTGGGTGCCTGTCGAGTCAGCTGGGGGAAACCGAGAGAGAGAGAGAAACACACACACACACAAACATACGCATAAGCAAACACACGGTTAACATTCCGTTATCCAGTCCCAGTTCAGCACCAGGGCATGAGCTCAACAAATAAAGGAACACCACATCAAAAACAATAGTCTGTAGAGACTCTTTTTCTAAACGGTTGACTTCATAGGCAGTTATGTAGCAAGTGTTTTTATATTCATGCACCATTTGACAGGAATCACTAATTTTACTCAGTGTTCACACCCGGGCCTTTAGTCTATCATTCTATGACTCAAAAACTAAATTTAACCACTAGGAAGGGATGCAGAAAACTCTGTGCTGATATTAGGCACGCACATTCGCCTGCACACGAACACCCTACTACGCACCCCCTCACACAAACAAGACACACACCGACGAACACATATACACACACACCCTACCCACCCACCCTCCCACACACACACAGACACGTACTCTTGGTGTCCAGCTGGGCGGCGTAGTTGGGGAAGCCTCGGAGGCACACCTGCTCCCCCAGCAGGTCCATGAAGGCGGAGAAGGTGGGCGTGGCCTCTTCGTTGTTATACATCTCTTCTTCGGTGCTCTGCCCTGCCCGACACAGCAGGACCCCCACCTTGTGCTTCTGACTCAGCTACACCGGAGAAGAAACAATATCAGACTGCATTCACACACGGCTGCCATGTCCTGGCTCAAACAGAGACACACCTATCTAGTGTTTTTGACTGTAGCTATAGGAGGTGATTTCAGAGGTGATAAAAGACAGAGACAGACACACAGAGATATCATATAACTTGTGGCTGAGACCACGGCCCGCGGACTCACCCCCTGTTCGTCCAGTTTGAGGAGCTGCTCGGTGACCTTGGGCGTGCTGAGAGCCAGGCGCAGGCAGGACACACTGAGCTCCGGGACCACCTGCTCCAGCACCTCCTTCAGGGGGAGACCTCGCACCGTGCCGTGCCTCCCCGTGGAGGCCACTGCATCCTCCAGGATGGACCCCCGCAACGTCACCAGCTACACACACACAGAGGACATGGGAGTGATTAGAGATGTAAAACACACACACACAAAGGTTAGATGAGATGTACTTTATTGTCCATTAACTTGCAGAGAACTTGCTCACATCTATGTCTCTGGGAGTTTTTAGAGACATTGAGAAATAGGACAGATGTCTTCAGTAGGTGCATATCTGCAATCTTTGAAAGCTTCTTACTGCCCATAGTGCCATGCACCGGAGTGATCCCTAGAGGGGAGACCTGTACTTGGGGTGTTTCCAGACAGCAGGGGGCTATAATAATCTCAGGTGCTGAGAGAGCTGTATTTTATTCAATGTATTCAGGGAGACCACGGCCAGTGATGCCAACTTAGCAATTTTGTTGCTAGATTTAGCAACTTTTCAGACTACACTGGCAAAAAAATAATAATAATCAGCACCTAGCAACAAATGTAGCAACTTTTGAAAAGTGACTCAAATGCTAAAATGCACGCATTTTCCCGCTAAATGACACAAAAACGATTTTCCCTGTCACACACTCAGTCACAACACACGTTCCTGGCTGCAAAAGTGCATTGTGAGTGACGTCAGCAGCATGCGCTCAGCTCGTGCACAGGCAGCAGCAGGCCAGCAGCAATTTCAGCAAATTGCAAATCATTGTTGGCTGACTGCAGCAGCAGTAGTATGTGTTCGACGAGACAAACCCAATTAATATAGTTGGTCACGAATGTTGGATCTTGAACAGAACTTACATCAATAATCAACATGTCTCAATCAAAATTGTACAGCCAGAAGTACAGAAAAGAGTGGGAGTCTGTACCTGAATTTAAAGGGTGGCTGAAGCCAGTAATTGGGGATGATTGTCGGGCATACTGTGCATACTGCAAATCAGATATGCTTGCAAAAATGTATGACATAAAAAAAACGTACAACCCCGCAACACAGTCTACATTACCACAGTTGGTTAAGAAAGTGGATAACTGCCATAGTAGCTTCTGCGCTTTTGCAGTGGCCATTGCGGAGCATTGTTCGCTGCTAGCATGCGACCATTTAGGCATGGCTTGCAAAGCTGCCTTTTCAGATACTGTGGCAGCAACAAACCTCCAAATGCACCAAGTGAAATGATTAGGGGAGTACTGGCTCCTTATTTTCTCAAAAGGGTAACATCAGATGTGGGGGTTCGAGAAGTTCAGCCTCCTTTTGGATGAGTCCACTGATGTCAGTGTCTCAAAATACCTGGGTGTGGTGATTCGGTATTTCAGTGCTAAAAAAAGAAACATTGTGTCCACATTTCTCGGGCTGGTTGAATTGGAGGGGGGCGATGCCAGATCAATAGCAAAGGCGGTAGTTGAGTTTCTTGAGAAGTGTAAACTTCAAAAATAGAATCTTCAGGGGATTGGCAGTGATAATGCGTCCGTGAAGACTGGGGTGCACAAAAAGGTGCGCAAGATTTTAAAGGAAGAATGTGCATTGCCCAATTTGGTACTCATCCGCTGTGTCACCAAAGTGTGTTGGCTATCGATTGAGCCTGCGGTAACTCGTATATTGAGCCAGTGGAAAGAACTGAAATCCACTTTGAGTTGACCAAGGCCAGTGAGCATTGCTACATATGCTCCACGCCATGTACAAGACCAGCTATGTCTACCTGACATTCTTGAAATCAATCCTGTCCGACAAGTTGCAGTGAAGTCATTTGAGGGAGAGCAAACAGATCCTGTCAAGCGTTTGGACAATCTGGTACACCTCTTAACATCAATTTGCAGCAGAGTAGTCAACCCTATGGCAAATATTGATGTCCTGAAGGATGCCATTGATGGACATCTCAGTCCATCACCATACCTTGGGTACCTTTTCGAGAGCACTGTGTACCAACTCAGTCTTGCGCCAGAGGACGAAAAGGTCATTCGGAGACAGTGCATCAACTACATTGTTGCTTTAAGCAAGGAGCTGCAAGGCCCCCAGACAACCTAGAAGCCTTGCGAACCATGGCCTTGTTCAGTGTTAAGGAAACACTAAAGCATAATAAAGGCCCCGCTGAAATGATTAAAGTAGCTGAGCTACTGGGGTACCAGCCCCAAACAATTGATACAATTGTTCCCCAATGGAGAAACATCCATCTGTTTAGGTGGGATTCAACTGAAAAGTTTTGGAGTGAAGTGAATAACTACACAGACTCTTCCGGGTCAAATCCATTTGAAGAACTGTGCAAAGCTGCACTCGCTGGCCTCTCCTTGCCACACTCAAATGCGGAGGTTGAACGGCTGTTCAGCCAAATGAGTGTGGTCAAGTCAAAGTTAAGAAATAGAATGTCACTGCACACTCTCAACTTCATACTCCTGGTGCGGTGTGGACTGAAGCTGGCTGGTGATACCTGTTACCAGCATAAACTACCAAGTGAAGTTGTGCAGCAGTTTGGCACCACAGCAGCCTACAGCTTCAAGGCCACTCCATCCTCTTCTGCTGGATCCAGCTCCGTGACAATGCAGTCGGACAGAGAAGATGAAGAGGATTTCCTTGCCAATCTATGATTCATCATATTTACAGTACGTTGCAAGGCATGGACTTTCTGGAACTGGCAGAGACACACAGCTGATGGTGGTAGTGTGCACTGTAGTGTGAGAGTGAACAGTGGCAATATCTGGAGGAAACCATTGAGCAGCTAGCCAGCCAAGCAGCACAACAACCTGGAGAGAGCTGGAGAGAGATGCCTAGCGCACACATCATTACTTGAGTTAAGTTGTTTGTTCAATAGGATAGCATATATACCTTGTTATTAGTTTGTACCTATAATTGTTGATCAGTTAGGTAGCATGTTAACTAACTACCAATACACTGCTTAAAACTATAATTGTTCATAATGTGAAGGTTTACTAGTTAAAAATAAAATAAATAAAATGTAATTGTTCAATAATGTGTAATGTGTAATTGTAAAAAAAAAAAATCTGATCATAAAAAATGTGTTGTGTTTATATTACTTTTACAAAAAAATTATGTGATAATAAACAAACAAATCGAAACTACCAAATGTCAAATCATATTTTTCGCCGAGATGGCCAGTCAATTTTACGTTATTACGTAATGACGTCATCACGCAATGACATCACAATGTCATTTAGCAACTTTTAGCAACAAATCGACCTGCCTCTAGCAACTTCCCCTGACTGACTGTGCCAATCTGGGGCATCTGTGGGGTGTGAGTAAGAATGTGTGTGCACGTGGATGTGTGTGATTGAGTGTGTAAGTGTGTAACGTGTGGTTACAGCATGCTGGTGTCAGCATCGTTCAGACTTCAATGAGAGAGTATGGGGGAGGGAGGGGGGGGGTTTGAGAGGAGGAGGAGGGGATGTGAGCTTTGTAGCGTTCGCTCTCTCAGGGCAGGCCTGAGAGGAGTGTCTGTATGATCTCTGTAGACACAGGCGGCGGCGCGGCCCATTGTTCAATATGGGCTAAGGTGATGAGGCCAGGCTGCCATGTAATCCAGCTAAAAACAACAAGAGGGAGGGCAGCCGCCAGCCAGAGGGCACAGCCACAGGATTCACTGGACACTATTGGAAAGCACATGTACTAGACAGGGAGCAAGCAGAAGTGCTATGTACACCCAGTCTCTATTAGGATAGCTATTTGTGCAGTGGTCAGTCAATCTGTCAATCAGTCTCAGAGTATGTTACGTCGCGTACCGGGTATATAGTGCATTCGGAAAGCATTCAGATCCCTTGACTTTTTCCACATTTTGTTACGTTACAGGCTTATTTTAAAACTGATTAAATAGTTGTTTTCCCCCTCATCAATCTACACACAATACCACATAATGACAAAGCAAAAACGGAAGAGCGGGGGGACATATCACATTTACATAAGTATTCAGACTCTTTACTCAGTACTTTGTTGAAGCACCTTTGGCAGTGATTACAGCCTCGAGTCTTCTTAAGTATGACACTACAAGCTTGGCACACCTGTATTTGGGGAGTTTTTACCATTCTTCTCTGCAGATCCTCTCAAGCTCTGTCAGGTTGGATGGGGAGCGTTGCTGCACAGCTATTTTCAGGTCTCTCCAGAGACGTTCGATCGGGTTCAAGTCCGGGCTCTGGCTGGGCCACTCAAGGACATTCAGAGACTTGTAACGAAGCCACTCCTGCGTTGTCTTGGCTGTGTGCTTAGGGCCGTTATCCTGTTGGAAGGTGAACCTTCGCCCCCCAGTCTGAGTTCGTGAGTGCTCTGGAGCAAGTTTTCATCAAGAATCTCTGTACTTTGCTCCCTCAATCCTGACTAGTCTCCCAGTCCCTGCCACTAAAAAATCCCCACTGCATGATGCTGCCACCACCATGCTTCACATTAGGGATGGTGCCAGGTTTCCTCCAGATGTGACGCTTGGCATTCAGGCCAAATAGTTCAATCTTGGTTTTATCAGACCAGAGAATATTGTTTCTCATGGTCTGAGAGTCCTTTAGGTGCCTTTTGGCAAACTCCAAGCAGACTGTCATGTGTCTTTTATTGAGGAGTGGCTTCCGTCTGGCTACTCTACCATAAAGGCCTGATTGGTGGAGTGCTGCAGAGATGGTTGTCCTTATGGAAAAAGGATGCAATGGAAACAGGATGCACCGGAGCTCAATTTCGAGCCTCATAGCAAAGGGTCTGAATACTTATGTAAATAAGGTATGTTTTCTTTCCTGCCAAAAAAATCTAAAAACCTGTTTTCGCTTTGTCATTATGGGGTATTGTGTGTAGATTGATGAGGATGAAAAAAATCAAAAATTTAGAATAAGGCTGTACCGTAACAAAATGTGGAAAAAGTCAAGGGTCTGAATACTTTCCGAATGCACTGTATAAGAAACATCCTGAGAAAACGTGTGTGTGCAGGAAAGGTAGTGCCAGGTACATGTGGACTCTTGAGTGCCCTAAAAATAGTGGCCTGGATTGCTTATGGGGTTTTCCATGTGAATATTTCAGTGCTTCTGGTGGTGCCCTATTTTGTTAATGGGAGATCTCTGCACCCCGGGTCACCCGTTATTCAAAACCCTGTTCAAGGAGAAAGTGTCCATACTTGTTGGTATTTATAACCTACTAAAGAGGACTTTGGTAAAGCTAGACGGGTGATTGGCCAATCATAGAGAATGCCCTGTCCCAGGGCTGGAGTGGTGGTGATCCAATCAGAGCACATCTGTGCCTGGCTACCCAGACTCCTTGCTCCGGCCAAACGCTATGCCACACTTACGGATGTTAGTTTCTTCTCCGCAATGAGCGAGAATCTGAGTACCTCACCGACCCTTCACCGAATGCGAACACATTCGGGGCTGTCTGATAGGTCCAGAAACCAATGGGTTGGGCCAGAGCCAGAACACACATGGGTAAAGCGGCGGTTTGAAAATGCGTCATTGGCTTTGATACTCTGATCGGTTAAAGACGATCTAATCGCTGATGACTTTGTTTTGTACAATGCAACTCTTCACCACAAACGACTTCAATGATGGCAGTCTCAGACTAAAGTATGTAGCGAATGACAGAACAACGGAAGAATTTAGTGTCAGGCTACATCTTTGCTTGAATGAGGAGGTTTGACCTATCACTAGCTGTGGTATTAGTGGAGGGAGGCCTACCAGCGGACCAGGACCGGGGCAGTGTTTGGCTTAGCTGTTCTGAGCAGGGCCTGGTCAGGTGGAAATTTCCACTGGCAGAGAATGGAGGGACTGGAGGGAGGAGGGGAGGTAAGCGAGAGAGGGGAAGGTGTGGAGGGAGGGGGTACTGTGTGTGGAGCCAGCATGAGCCGTGGGGACTCAATGAGGTTCAGTCCAGGCATAAATAACAGCGTCCAAAAACGCACATTCCCACACACTATGTCTCACGCACACACTGCCTACTCAAACAACACATACATTTGGCAGCGTCAGTATTCAGCCTACTCAGTGTTCCATCTAGCTGTGTGTAGGCAGGCAGTGGGAGGTGGGGTGGGTGTTAGTACCTCGCTAGTTCTGGCAATGATGCGGTACAGGTACTGGTCTTTCAGGTCTTTAGTGTCGTCCAGTTTCTCCCTGCGGATACTCACAGCCACCGGACCCAGCTTCTCGTCCGTCCCAAAGTAGTTAGAGTGCTCTGCAGTGACACACAGGGAGAGAGTGTATTCACAACATGTCTGGACATGCCTTTGGTCCTGTTGAACACGTGTATTGATCATTTCAATAACAGCCTTTGGATATGGAAAAATGGAGGAAAGTAGGAGGTTGAATAAAAAGGAGATGGAGAGAGAGAACAGGCTCAGAGCGGAGGAGGGAAAGAGAAGAGATTGAAGGATATGGTGAGATAACAACAGCACTTGCAGTGCTTGTATGTGGTGTCAATCCATGTTCAATTACACATTGAATTAATCAGCTCATCAAGGAACCTGAGGACATTGATTAGAGCTACAAATGACAAACAATGATTGTGCAGCTGAGCCTGTGGTGTGGCGGCACGGCTTGCTCGGAACAGGTTCTACTTTTTCAGATGAAGTCACATGCTTGAGTAACCTAGGTAGAGTAGAGAACACAATAATAATCTACAAATGACAAAATTCAATTATATTTGTTATTTTATCCACAACAATACAATCGTTTGCTTTGACGTACTAGCCGTATTGCTTTGCATGTTATAGGCCTATCATAGCCAGAAATGTTGGTTTCATAAACAGATCATTCCACAGGACATTTTATTACATTTTATTATAACTGTGTGACACACTGAAGACTGAGTAGCCTTTCTGCTTATCTAAAGTTTGATGAATAAGTGGAAATCTCTGATAAGACACATTCCTAAAGTAAAAGGCTATAAACATATCCATATGATTCATTAACAGCTTACTCCTCAAACTGAGAGCGACTTCTCCTATTTGTGAGTGGAGGAGGAAGAAACTCATGGAAGAATCTATTTTTCAACTTGTTTCATCTCTGCATAATTGAAGAGGCTCAGCCCTGTTTAGCATTCCCACTTTGTCCTGCAGTATAAATGTCAGCTTTTTGGATTAGGCTTTTTGACATGCATGCAGGGCATTACAGTTACAGCACCGGAGCAGTCTCATGTTCCACACAGCATTCAGGGGGACAGGCAACAGTATTTTTGGAGCGGTTACCTTTATCTCTGTGGTTAGGCTCTTAGCAGATGATTATGTCCTCGGGGGCAGCTATCTATTTTTCCAGGGTCTAGAAAGGTGATGCTGGGAGCACACACACACACAGCTGTTCTGCAGGATCGGGGGGGAGGAGTTTTAATAGGAAGAGCCAACCAGTGTCAGGATTAATGTGCAGAGGCAGAGAGGTCAACGTGTGTGTGAGGGAGTAAGTTAATTCTTCTCAGAGCTATGAGCTCAGTTTGCCAACAGACAGAGGCAGGTACATATTATCCTCTGGGACCGCTGCCAGGTTGGCTGACTGTACAGGGGCAGCTGGATGGAGGAGGAGAGAGTACTGCCAGTTGACAACACTAGTGATATGCTAGACTTTTATTGACAGCAGATATCATAGGGAGAGTGAATACTAAAAGTAGTCAAAGTTAGGTAGGATAGGTAGGCTGGATTGAGTGGTAAGATCAGATCAGTTCTTACCTTTCCCATGGAAGTAGTCTCGGTAGTACCGCGCCCCCAGGTCCACATGCTCTATGCTATAGAGTTTCAGCCTGTCCATTCTGGTGACTTGCTGCTCTATGGGCACCTCCACCACCGACACACTGGCGTTGCTACGCCGAAGGCTGCCCCTCACTATGTCACCCGCGCCCCCCTCCCCTCCCCGCTCGGCCGAGGAGCTCAGGAAGCTGATGTTGCGCTCCCCGTGGCCCCCCGTCTCGTTGCGGAAGTGGGGGCAGCTGAGGAGGAGCGAACTGGAGCTGGGGCCTCCGGGGGGGCCGTCCAGAGGGTCCATGCCCAGGGAGGGTGCGGGCGCGGTGGGGTCGAGGCCTAGCGTCAGGTCCTCAACGCTGGAGTAGGTGGCGTCCAACCCACTCAGAGTTGAGGACCGTGACACAGCAAGGGAGACGGAGGCCGCCGATGCCCCTGTTGCAGTGTTCCTCCGCTGGGATACGTACGTGCGATGAGCAGCCGCCTCATGGAGGTCAAAAAGGATGCTCTGGGCGTCATAGTGGACAAAGCTCTTGGGGCACAACCAGGGTTTGTAGGGGGTATCTGTAGAGTTACGGCCTCCCCCGTCCTCCCCCGCCTCCCCTCTGTCCAGCTCCCCTCTGCTGGAGCTGCGGAGCTTCCGGAACAGCGAGGACGTCCCCAGAGACGACTCTGTCCCCCCACTCTTCTTCCTCACCCTGTTCTCTGACCGTCCCATCCCTCCATCCTCCCCCCTGGGTGTGGGGGAGTGGCCAGTGGGGAGGGGTGCAGAGGGAGGGCAGTTGGGGGTGTGCAGTAGCTCCCCCAGGCGTACGTGGGCAGTGCTGCGCTGGTCGGGCCTCTCCTGGTGGAACTGGCTGAGCATGTCAAAGAAGCTCTGCTCGGTAATGCCCTGCACGTCGATGGAAGAGGTGCTGCCGTACTCCCGGAACAGATTAGCACCTCCACGACCTTCCACCTCGTTCTCATCCTGCTCGCTCAGAGTTACCTCACTGTTGGAGCGCTGCCGTAACGGGGGGAAGGCACGCAGGCCTATGGGAGACCCTCTTTCACCCCTGTACCCACCACGGAACTCCACGTCCTTCGTGCGTCGCCTTGGTAAACGAGCCACTCCTCCCCGCACCAGCCCGACCTCGGAGATGGGGAAAGATGCGGAGGAGGTCGTCGTGGAGGGGTCGTCTCCATGGGGATTACCACCTTGCCCGTTCTCCAGGAGCGACTCCCTCGATTGCGCATGGCGCGGCGGCCACTCAGCAATACGGGCGCGGACACCCATCTTGGGAACGGAGACACGGGATTGGGTGGCCGGGTCAGAAAAGGGGGCAGGGTGGCCGTTGGGGGTGAGGTGGAAGGTGGCATGTTGTGTGAGGAGGGGTCCAGGCCCTCCCCCTCCGCCCCCCTCCAGCAGGTCTGAGGAGGTGCAGGTGACCCCTCTATCTCTGTAGGTGTTCATGGTGCCCCAGGAGAGCTCAGGGCAGGACAGAAGGCAGGGGGGAAGGGGGCTGGCATCCCGGGCCAGAGTTGGGGGTAGGGGAGAGGGAGAGGAACCCCACACACACTCTGCTGATGCTGCGGCCTCCACCTCCCACATACATCGCTTTCACTGGGAGGGTGGGACACTGCTTGTCATATGCCCAGTTACACAGTAGGCTCTCTCTCTTCTCTCAGGCTCTGTGCAGATCTGGGGAGGAGACAAAACACTCATTGATATGCTGACGACCACAACAAAACATGCATACATGGCATACAGTAATACGCTGTTTCTTAACATGCACACCCAAACACTAACATACACTGACCCAGATTCACCCCTCCTATCCAATGAAATGACACCACGAAAACTGTGACTACAGCAACTCATCTGCACTAGAGTGTGAGAGAGTGATTAAGGGAGAGTGGAGGATATGAGCGAGAGAGAGGAGGATATGAGAGAGCGAGAGAGAGAGAGAGGAGGATATGAGAGAGAGAGGAGGATATGAGAGAGCGAGAGAGAGAGAGGAGGATATGAGAGAGAGAGAGAGAGGAGGATTTGAGAGCGAGAGAGGTGAGGTGAGGGGATTTGACTGAGGATTTCTCCTGTTGAGACTAATCTTCAGAATGCCTGACAAGCAGGGTTATTATACTAGTGTCATATTTCAGCAGCAATACACACACACACACACACACACCACACACAGGCACGCACTATACATTTTCATTACACCAAATCAAACTCCTGCATCATAAAGCAATGCTGAAAGTGCTAGGACATCAACATCCCAGCTAAACCGCACTTCATAAAGAATAGATATAATCTGACTGGATATTCACATGGAGACAGAATATGCACACACACACACACACACACACACACACACACACGTTGGGTTGCTGCTGCAGTGTCATCTTTAAGTTAATTTAACTTACAGCAGTATGTATGGTTCCTCATTTAGCTCCTTCTCTCAGCTGGTACTTAGCCCAGGGTGATGATACATTTATGACATTATCTATGCTATGCACCTGGTACCAGCCTGTGAGAGGTACGTGTGTGTGTGTGTGTGTGTGAGCACTGTCAGGCCGTGAGAGGTCATACGCATTAGTGTGTGTGAGTAGGTATGTGAGGTGTGTGTGAGTAGGTATGTGAGGTGTGTGTGAGTAGGTATGTAGGTATTTCACATTTTCCACACAGAAATGTTTTGGTACCCTTCCCTAGATCTGTGCCTCGACACAATCCTGTCTTGGAGCCCTACGGACAATTCCTTCGACCTCATGGCTTGGTTTTTGCTCTGACATGCACTGTCAACTGTGGGATCTCATGTCCAATCAATTGAATTTACCACAGGTGGACTCCAATCAAGTTGTAGAAACATCTCAAGGATGATCAATGGAAACAGGATGCACCTTCGCTCAATTTCGTGTCACATAGCAAAGGGTCTGAATACCTTTCAAAGACAGGTGTGTGCCTTTCCAAATCATGTCTAATCAATTGAATTCACCATAGGTAGACTCCAATCAAGTTGTAGAAACTCAATTTCGAGTCTCATTGCAAAGGGTCTGAATACTTATGGAAATAAGGTAATTTTTCCAACAATTGTTTACAGACAGATTATTTCACTTATAATTCACTGTATCACAATTCCAGTGGGTCAGAAGTTTACATACACTAACTTGACTGTGCCTTTAAACAGCTTGGAAAATTCCAGAAAATGATGTCATGGCTTTAGAAGCTTCTGATAGGCTAATTGACATAATTTGAGTCAATTTGAGGTGTACCTGTGGATGTATTTCAAGGCCTACCTTCAAACTCAGTGCCTCTTTGCTTGACATCATGGGAAAATCAAAAGAAATCAGCCAAGACCTCAGAAAAAAATGTGTAGACCTCCACAAGTCTTGTTCATCCTTGGGAGCAATTTCCAAACGCCTGAATGTACCACGTTCATCTGTACAAACAATAGTACGCAAGTATAAACACCATGGGACCACGCAGCCGTCATACCGCTCAGGAAGGAGACGCGTTCTGTCTCCTAGAGATGAACGTACTTTGGTGCAAAAAGTGCAAATCAATCCCAGAACAACAGCAAAGGACCTTGTGAAGATGCTGGAGGAAACAGGTACAAATGTATCTATATCCACAGTAAAACAAGTCCTATATCGACATAACCTGAAAGGCCGCTCAGCAAGGAAGAAGCCACTGCTCCAAAACCGCCATAAAAAAGCCAGACTACGGTTTGCAACTGCACATGGGGACAAAGATCGTACTTTTTGGAGAAATGTCCTCTGGTCTGATAAAACTAAAATATAACTGTTTGGCCATAATGACCATCGTTATGTTTGGAAGAAACTGGGGGGGCTTGCAAGCCGAAGAACACCATCCCAACCGTGAAGCACGGGGGTGGCAGCATCATGCTGTGGGGGTGCTTTGCTGCAGGAGGGACTGGTGCACTTCACAAAATAGATGGCATCATGAGGAAGTAAAATGATGTGGATATATTGAAGCAACATCTCAAGACATCAGTCAGGAAGTTAAAGCTTGGTCACAAATGGGTCTTCCAAATGGACAATGACCCCAAGCATACTTCCAAAGTTGTGGCAAAATGGCTTAAGGACAACAATGTCAAGTTATTGGAGTGGCCATCACAAAGCCCTGATCTCAATCTTATAGAAAATGTGTGGGCAGAACTGAAAAAGTGTGTGCGAGCAAGGAGGCCTACAAACCTGACTCAGTTACACCAGCTCTGTCAGGAGGAATGGGCAAAAATTCACCCAACTTATTGTGGGAAGCTTGTGGAAGGCTACCCGAAACGTTTGACCCAAGTTAAACAATTTAAAGGCAACGCTACCAAATACTAATTGAGTGTATGTAAACTTCTGACCCACTGGGAATGTGATGAAAGAAATAAAAGCTGAAATAAATCAGTCTCGCTACTATTATTCTGACATTTCACATTCTTAAAATAAAGTGGTGATCCTAACTGACCTAAGACAGGGAATTTTTACTATGATTAAATGTCAGGAATTGTGAAAAAAGTGAGATTAAACATATTTGTATGTAAACTTCCGACTTCAACTGTATATACAGGGTCAGTTCCAGGGTCAGTGCCAATACCATATTTATAATGTGCCATTAAGACAAGCCCGTCCTCCCAAATTAAGGTGCCACCAACCTCCTGTGATATACATGCATAATGATCTGCATGTATATCACAGGAGGTTGGTGGCACCTTAATTTGGGAGGACGGGCTTGTCTTAATGGCTGTTGCGGAATTAGTGGAATGGTATCACATGGTTTCTATGTGTTTGATGCCATTCCATTTGTGCCGTTTCAGCCAATATTATGAGCAACCTTCAGCAGCCTCCACTGATGTATATTCCTTCCTCTCATTCTTGCAACCAAATCACAGGTAGGCCTTTGCAAATATTAGCGAATCAGCCATTCTATGCAGTATTCTATTATACACTGGACAGGGTGAAGTTAAAATCAATGTGTTGTATTGAGTAGAAGTGTGGAGAACGTTTAAAAAGACGTGAACAAGCGTCCGGGGGACGGGCAAACAGGATGCTAAGCCACTGATTTTTTTCCATCGTTGTATTGCGATACTACTCGGTATCGTGATACTTGGCCTGGTATCGTATCGTTAGTAAAATGTTGGTATCGTGACAAGCCTAGTGTGTGTAGAGTCAGTATGAATGTATGTGCGTGTTATGTGTGTGAGCAAATTGTGTGTGTTGGAGTGTGTAGAGTGTGCATAGAGTGAATATGTGAGTGTGTATAGAGATAAAATAAAATAGAACGGTCAATGCAGATAGTCTGTGTAGCCATTTTGCTAGCTATTTAGCAGTCTTATGGCTTGGGGATAGAAGCTGTTCAGGAGCCTGTTGATGTCAGACTTGACAGTCTATGGCTTGGTTGGCTGGAGTCTAACAATTTTCCGGGCCTTCCTTTCACACTGCCTGATATAGAGGTCCTGGATGGCAGGGAGCTCGGCCCTAGTGATGTACTGGGCTGTCCGCAACATCCCCTGTAGCGTCATGCGATCGAGGGTGGTGCAGTTGCCATACCATGCAGTGGTTAGGTTAGGTTATTCAAAACAACTTAAACCTTTCGGAGAACTCGGTTAGATAAAATCATTGTTTGATCATGAAGTAGCGCGGCCAGAGAAAGCCAGCATGCATAAAAACTGGTCATTCTCATATCAAACGGAGAGAAAATACAACATTTTTTAAATAATTAATACACTGAAGTGTCTGCTATAAAAAATTAAATAGGTGTCGGCTATACTGCTCAGATCATCTAAAATTGAGATAGAAAAAAAATCATTTTCTGACTGGACATTTTGCGCTGCTTTGGTGAAAATCTGAACTCTGTCTGCATTGTTCTCTTGCACTCTATAAATTGTTAATAGCATATTTATTGAAATAGGTTATGCAGGCTACAGCAAAGGAATAGACCACTTGGCATGGCCCTGCTGTGGGCTGCCCGGTCAGCTCCTTACGGCGTGGTGCCAGTCAAGTTGAAATAGGCTATACATAGTCTGTTACATCACAATGTCGTCACCATCGACGATGGCTGTCAATCATCTTCGATATCAGATACTATCGTAATATCGCCCAACCCTACTCTACCCCTCCTTCTGTCCATTCTCACCCTCCCTCGCCATGGCGTTATCAGAGAGAAACAAACGAGGATACACACAACTAGGCTACGTTATACTCAGCTAAGGAGGGGAAGGGTGAATAGAAAATTGAGAGACGGGGAGAGAATGTCAAGCGACATAACAGTAGAACGCTAGGGGGGGGGGGGGGGGGGGGGAGGGAAACCGAAATAGGGAGAGAGTGACGGAGTTGAGGGAAGAGAGCAGGAACATGTCCACTGAACCAAAATGACGCGCCTTAATATGACAGTCACAAAGAATCAGGCTTCACCACTGCCCTGTCGCTATAAAAAGCCTCCCTAGACTCCTAATCTACCCCTACTTTATTCAGGGTCTTCTTTTCTCCGCTCAAACTCTCGCTCTAATGTTTTACTCTCCCCTTTTCTGTCCCTCTATACCTAGGCTAATCTATCTCCATTTTATTCAGTCTCTTCTCCGCTCAAACGCTCTCCTCTCCTTC